GTCACCCAGAGATGTCCAGGTCCATAGTTCCTCACCCAAACTGGATCACCTACCTTAGTCTCCTAGGTGCCTATGGCTGTGACACCTGTGAAGCCACCCGGTCTGGGTGCAATCTGTCCAGTTTGGTAATGAGATGGCGATCCCAGTGGAGTTCAGCTGGGCTTTTCCCAGTAGCTGTGCAAGGTGTGGTGCGGTGGCAAAGAAGAAAGTCAGCAACCTATGATGCCAGCTCCCATGAGTGAGTCTCTTCAAGGCATCTTTGGTTGTGCGCACCATGCGCTCAGCTTGGCCATTGGAAGCTGGATGAAAGGGTGCTGAAGTAGCATGGTGAATCATGTTGGCCTGTAGGAAAGCCTAAAACTCAAAAGAAGTGAATTGAGGACCGTTGTCGGAGACAAGAATATCTGGGAGCCCACGGGAGGCGAAGATCCCCCTCAACACCTGGATGGCCCTGGCAGTCATCGTAGTGGACATTGGAACGACCTCTAGCCATTTAGAGTGACTGTCCACAACAATGAGGAAGTACTGCCCCTGAAAGGGACCAGCGTAGTTGATATGAACCCTCGACCAAGGAGCATGTGTTTCCTCCCACCTATGTATAGGAGCCTGTGGCATTTCAGGCCTAGAATGTTGGCAAACGTGGCATCCCTGGACCTGGGTCTCAATCTCTTTATCAAGCCAGAGATAGCTGCACGCAAGAGCCTTCATCTGCACTATGCCCGGATGTCCTTCATGCAGAGATTGCAAGACTCTAGTCCTCAATGAGGTTGGGATCACTACCCTGCTACTCCACAGGACACAACCCTTAAAGGTGGATAACTCATGCTCCCTTTTCCAGAAATTCTGGAAATTGGTTCCAGGACATGTGTCAGGCCATCCTGACAGCACCCATGTCAACACACGTGTTAATGTGTGATCATTGGCTGTTTTTGCAGCCACATCCCTTGCATTGAGGGGTGACTCAGGCAACTCCTGAATAGCTAGTATGTGGTTAGCTGGAGCAGGATCTGATTAAACAAGCTGTAGAGACAACCTGCTAAGGCCATCTGCATGGCCGATTTCTTTGTCTGGTTTGTGAACTAGTGAGTAGTCATATGCACAAAAGGAAATTGACCACCTCAACATTCTAGGAGAAATTATGTGTGGGGTTTGCTTGTTTATTGTAAACAACCCCAGCAGTGGCTTAGGGTCTGTAAAGACTGTGAAATGGCGACCATACAAAAAGTCGTGGAACTTTTTTATGCCAGCCACCATGGCCAAGGCTTCTCTGTCTATCTGTGCGTAATTATGCTCGGCAGATGACAGAATCCTAGAATAGTAGGCTAAAGGGACTTGTGTCTCATCAGCCTTGAGGTGACTTAAGACAGCCTCGATCCCATAAGGGGATACATCGTAGGCTATACACACTGGCAGCTGCTCATTGAAATGAGAAAGAACAGCATTTGAAGACAACAATGCCCTGACCTCTGCAAAACTCCTTTTGTGGACTTGTGTCCACTTCCATGGAGCCTATTTGTCCAAGAGCTGGTGTAACAGCTCTGCCACTGCAGCCTTGTGAGGGAGGAAAAAATGATAGAAATTTAGAAGCCCAAGGAAAGCTTGAAGCTCGCTCTTCGACTTGGGGCCTGCTGAATCGCTTTGAGCTTAGATTCAGCAGGATGGATGCCTTCTGCATCTATACGAAACCCCAGGAATTCAGTGGAAGTGACTCAAATTTTGCATTTGTCTTGCTTAAGCTTCAGCCCCGTTTTGCAGAAATGCAGCAAAACGGACCAAAGCCTCTCAGTCAAGTTTTCGGGTGATTCCCCTGTGATAAGGACATCATTGAAATATGGGCAAACTCCCGGAATGTTATGGAGCATTCACTCCATAAAGCTTTCGAAAATGCCAGAGGCTACGTTAACCCCAAACTGCAGTCTTCTGACTTTGAAAGTTTCCCGGTGCGTTACAATCGTCTGGGCCTCTGCCGTTGCCTCATCAACCGGTAGCTGTTGATAGGCCTCAGCCAAGTCAAGTTTGGCGAAAACTCGGCCTCCTTTAAGTGGCACCGGATAAGAGTGCTGCTGTAATGCTTTGTTTAATGTGCCTTTATAGTCAGCACAAATGCGGACTTCCCCATTGGCCTTAAGTGGCATGACTATGGGTGTTTCCCATGGACTGCTATCCACAGGTTCCAAAATACCTTGCTGGAGCAGTTTGTCCAGCTCAGCATTAATCTTTTGCTTCAGCGCAAAGGGCACCCGATGAGGATTAATTCTAATCGGGGCAATGGATGGGTCCAACCGCAATGCAATTGGAGGCCCTTGTACGACCCTAGTTCTGGGCTAAACACATCAACAAACTCCTTGCAAACTTCAGCAAGACCTGCTGTTTGCAAGCTGTGTAGCCCAGTCACTTGAATCCCAAGTGCCTCAAATCAATCGAGTCCAATTAGACTCGTGTGGTCGCCTTCAACCACAACAATGTCCAGGAACCCTTTGAATTGCCTACACTGCACTCTGAGCATGGCCTCCCCTTTCACCCTGACTTGGTAATTTTGAAAATCTGCTAAGATCAGATTTGATGGCCTGAGTTTAACTTGCTGGCTGCTTCTACAGCAGATTTGCTTGAGGTTGTCCTGGGATATGATTGACAGAGCTGAACCCATGTCCAGCTTCATCGTTAAAGGGACCTCCTGCAAATTGACATCAATGCGCAGCTTTTTCTTCAATGGTCGGTGGGCCCCAGTTCTCAAAACACTCCTACGGGATGCGCAGAAACCCACCCTATTCTGGCTGGGGATCCTGACACCTTTCTGAGGCAATTCTTCTGAAGGACAGTTTTTCTTGCAACTCAAACAGACAGTGGCTATGTGGCCTTGCTGGCCACATACCCGGCAAACAGCAGAACAGAATCAGCAATTGGAGCACTTGTGGCATCCTTCACATCCGAAACACCAAGGGAAGTTGAACTACCTTGTCAGCTTGCTTGTCAGCTCGCTCTTGGGGCCTTCTCTCCGCTGGCTGCTATAGATGGTCGACCTCATTTTCAGAATCCAGCTCAGCTACCTCTCGAGCAACCTCTTGATGGATGGATCCTGAACTCGTAGGGTGCTTGGAAAGCTGCAAGGCCTTGACTGCTCCTCCTGCTGCTTCGTCGGCTGTGATCTCCCTTAGTGCATCATGGAAGGAAATGTTTTCCTTTGCAAAAATCTTTTTGCTGCAGCTCGCAGCTCCTCAAACCACAAACTAGACAATCTCAAAGTCCTTCCTCCAGGTTTTTGAACTCACAGGGCCTAGCAGCTTGTCGCAGCACAGCAATAAAGTCCACAGCAGATTCTCCTGGACGTTGGTCCCACTGTTCAAATGTGTGACACCATCAATCACCGATAGCTTTGTTTCAAAATGTTCCCTTAACATTTTCTTCAGCTCAGTATAAGCAATGGATTCCAGAGGTGCTGGGGCAACCAGATGTTCGGCAATATCAAATGTCTCTTGCCCACAGACATATAGTAACGTTGCAGCTTTGAGCCTGTCTTCCCGAACTTGGTTTATTCGAAAGTAGTTTTCTACTCTGGACACATATGAGCTCCAATGTTCAGGGTGAGCTGTATTGAATTCGGACAAATGCCCTATCTTAGACATTATTACTTTTTGGTGGCCTCGTCAACACCTCGTGCTGCTCTGGCTTGTGAAGGGGTTCCAGGATGAATCTTGCCAAGCTCGCTTCCGGTGTCTTCGTACTGGCAGGCAGAGTCACACGAGTTTGGAATGCCACACTTCCAAGCGCTTCGGGCCTTCTGTGGTGAGTCAGCCTCTTTTTCTATTGTTGTTTCCTTGCAGCATGATCCCACCTTCATTGCCAATGTTCTGTTCTGAGTGTTGGTAAGGCATTGAGACGAGACAGGAGTAACAACAGTTGCCTCTTTATTCAATCTTCAACAGAACAATACAAAATGGCACAGATCCTTTTTATACCCTTCTGCAGGTAGCAATGTCAACCAATAAATGCAATGTATTTTTCCCGTCTTGCGCATGCACAATAGGCTGGAGACAGCCTGTCTGGCCCAGGCAGCCTCGTGGTCTGCCTGGGACTCTCTGCAGCTTCCTGAACCTGCTGTGTCAATCACAGCCCAGGACGTAACACCTTCCCTACCTCAGAAACTCACATTTCTTCAATAAAGAAAACAATAAAACCAAAAAGTTTGGAGGGACAGACTTATTGATCTTTCTTCCTTCCCCTCAATTAGCTACTAAAACTAAATACTCTGCCTTCCAATCTCAATCCCCTTTAACCAGCTCATTTGCTAAATTTACTGCATGCCTGGAAAGTTACTCTATAAGTTGCTATTTTACTGGCAGATTGAAGAGCTTAAAAAAGAAAAGAAGGAAAGATGGAAAGAACATCTTTTTGTTTGTGTTGAAGAACTGAAGAAAAAGTTCAGCTCAAAAAAAAATGCAGCTAGGGCATAAATGTGCAGCAAATGGCTGCAACAAAAGCTGGGTCCTAAAGGGAGTCAGATAGCAAAACACTTGGAAACCTTTGAAAAGTTTTTTGCTGCATTATCCCCACAGGCAGCTGAACAGAGTAGAGGCCCATCTCACAAATGTGGCTTCATTGACCAAGCATGGAGGCTTGTTTCGAAGTCTTCTGGCATTAGAATGCAGTGTTGGGCCTCAATTTATCTGTGCTCTTCCACCCTTCTGGACTACTTTTCGCTTTGCAAAGCTTTTTGGTGCTTGTCTGTCTCAGCTAGGTGGTGGGGCCGCCCAGGGCCCCTTTCACCCATCAGGTACCAGTGTTTGCTTAGCAATCTGCACATTCATATAACAGTGGCATTAGAGAGAGCAGGGAGTGAGGTTCATTAAGAGATATTATCTCACTTAATATTTGTCATCACTTTCAACCATAATGGGCCGCAGGTTCCATTACAGTCTGGACTACCTATATCAAAAAGATTGCCTGCAACCCAAGTATAATGCTATCATATTTTTCAGTCAAGAAGATCTAATTGTACTTACTGCTGTGCTTCTCTATTTAATTTTTTACAGAGTTTTAGTGAAGGAACATCGTGCTTCTTCCTGTAGTCATTGTGGGCTCTTAAGACTTCTCCTGAAAATTGCTTGGAAGCTAATGGAGTATAAAATATTAGAAATATTACTAAATAAGAGCATGTCAAAATGCAAAAAAAAAAACCTGTAAAGAACAAAGTCAGTTTTATAATTTATAGAAAACTTACTCTGCAATATTTGAGTAATACAGGTAGTCCTCGAGTTACAAATGGAATGGAGCTTGCCCATTGCATTCATAATTCGAGGATTTGTAGGAATAAATCTCATACCTTGAACAAAATCATTCCCTGCTTTTGCCCATGCATTCACTAATCAAATGCATCATTTGTTAAGTGCATATGAGGTATCTCAGGATGGGGAAGGCCATGGGGATCCTAGTGATGGAAGAGGCCCCCAAGGTCTCCCCGACCTACTAAGATACCTCATGCTTTCCCCTCCCTTCCTGCTGCACTGGACTCACTTATCTTGCAAAGATCTGTCTCCTCTCTGCTGCTATTTCTTTGCCTTTAGGGGAGAAAAGAGTCAATGGAAGCTCCTGGGTGCCTTAATATCACACGAGTTCAGGCACCCAAACTCTTTTGCAGACAAACCTTCCAGTCTCCATCAACTCTCTGTCAGGTCTCCATCCAGGAGGAAAATATTTGAACGCCTATGGGGCGCTTGGAAATGGAGCGATTTGCTCCCTTCTGAGTTTCTCATAGGTACTCAAATACTTTTCATCCTGATAGAGACCTGACAGAGACTGGAAGCTTTGTCAGCATGCAAATGGAGTGCTTGGAAGCAGAGCAATTTGCTCCTTTCCAAACACCCCATTTGCAAGCAGACAAAGCTTCCAGTCTGTCTGAGTGAAAAGTGTTTGAGTATTTATGGGGTGCTTGGAAACAGAGCAATTTGCAAATGGGGCACTTGGAAATGGAGCAATTCACTTTGCTTCCAAACACCCCATTTGCACGCTTCCAGTCTCCGTCAGGTCTCCATCCAGGTGAAAAGTATTCCGGTTGTGGCAGAAAGCAGTTCGGAGAGAGGAGCAGGAGACAGGCACTGTAAACACTTTTCATGCTGAGAATGAAGGTTTCTGGGGTCCGTGATCTCATGAGAGTTCAGGCACCTATTCTCTGCAAAAGAGGTTGGGTGCCTGAACTCGTGCAATATTATGGCATCTAGGAGCTTACATCGACTCCTCTCCCTCAAAGGCAAAGAAACCATGGCAGAGAGGAGACAGATTTTTGCAAGGAAAATTAGTCAGACGTGGCAGGATGGGAAGGGGAAGTGGTTGTGTGGAGCAGGCGGAGAATAGGGTGAATGTTGCAGAGCCTCTGCAGTCGTTTGTAAGGCAAACAACTGCAGTGGTGCTGCAACATTTGTAATTTCGGAACTTGCTCATAAACAGTAGGGGGAACTTATCACATACCTTCAAACAGGTGCTAAGTGAATGCTCATAACTTGGGGATTATTTCTATGTACAGGTAGTCCTTGACTTATTACCATTCGTTCAACAACCATTCAAAGTTACAACAGTAATTTAACTCCCACCCACCTGCCTATCTACCCTTCACTGATAACTTTCATTGCCCTTTGCTCTGATGCCCTTTTAACTTTTACTGTTTTCTTGCTCCTATTGCTGACAAGGCGTGCATAGTTGGCTGGGATTTGCACTGTGACAAAAAAAAAAAAAAGCCAAAAGCAGCCACAAAGCACCAAGAAGCCCCTAGGTGGGACAAGGAGGAAGAAGAGGAAGAGGGTGGAGGGGGAGGGGGAGGAGAGGGAAGAGGAGGAAGAAGAAGAGGAGGAGGAGGAAAAGGAGGAGGAGGAGGAGGAAGAGGAAGATGATGATTCAAGATCCCTTCCAAATCTGTTATTCTGTTAAAAATTCTATGTCTAACATGTATAATATTAATACGCAGATCTTCCATTTTGCTGAAAAATAACCTAGACCAAATGTATACATTTAAATTTTTAAAAAAGAATATAGAATGTAGAATAGTGGGGTTGGAAGAGACCTTCAAAGTCTTCTAGTCCAGCCCCCTACACATGGAAGGAGATCCTATAATATTCTGGAGAATTGGCTGTCCAATCGCTTTTTGAAAATCTCCAGCAACTGATCATCCAGAAGCAGGCTGTTTCACTGATTAATTGTTCTTACTCTCAGGAAATTTCTCCTTAGTTATAGACTGGATTTTTCTTTAATGATCTTCCATCTATTATTTCTTGTCCTGGCCTCAGGTCCTCAGGTTCATCTCAGCCTTTTAAATACTGAAAAGCTGCTATCATATCACCCTTAGTCCTTCTCTTCATTAGACTAGACATATATACATATACATAAACAGTGGATATAAAAGTGTACTCATCTCAGTTAAAATGCCTGAGTTTGAGATGTAAAAAAATCAGACCAAGATAAATCACTTCAGAATTTTATTTTATTTTTTTTGTCTTTAATATAAATATGAGCTGTACAATTCAATTGAAGAAAAAACTGAAATCTTTTAGGGAGAAAAAATAAAAATAAAAAAGCTCACAATAATGTGGTTGCATAAGTGTGTACATCCTCTTCTAAGTAGGAATGTTGCTCTCTTCAGAATTAACCAAACTAATTCAAACTGATAAATAGTAATCAGCATATACTGCCATCAATTAAAGTGACTCTGATCCAGCCTATGTAAAGTTCAGTGTTTCTAGAAGGATTTTTATGACAATTGCCAGTTACTTCTTAGAGCAAAGTCACAGTCTGCAAAGATCTTATAAAATATTAAAAGGATCATATTGCTGAAAGGAATCAGTCAGGAGAAGGGTCCCATATCATTTCCAAGGCAATGGATATACCATTGTGGGAACAATCCAGAGAAAGAAATATTTTTGGGAATATTAAACAGGCATAATACATTTCCCCAAAGGATTTTAAAAGCAGAAATCAACGCGCACGCATACACACACACACACACACAAGTCTCTCTGCCCCAAACAGAAACCAGGTCTACAGAAATGCAGATGTGATAATCTTGTAAGAAAGGTTGGTGTCAGGAAACTGGGATTAGAAAGAAAGATCCCTAGAATCAACAATCCCTCACACCAAAAATCCAACACTCATCAACTACAGTCCCAGGGAAGCAGGATATGGCCTTTGAGACATAATAGAATTAATCTACCAACATCAGAATACCAGAAAGGCACACTCACACTCAGGTCAAAGTTCATGCCACAGGAACAACTCCAAACAAAAGCCCAAGAAGGTATTAAAACCCACCTCCTACTACATGTGGTTACTTTTTTTTCCAGAGCCATCTCTCTGTCTGGCTCTAAACTAAAACCTTCTTTCTAAAGCAGTCTCCATTTTTGTCTATTTCTGACTTGGACTGGACCCTGATGAAGATTTTTCCTTCAACAATTTGGCATCCAGGACAGGATTCCAAGCTAATCCCTTCAATGGACTGAGACTGGTAAGTCCCATCTTGCCAGCAGTAGACCCCTGGGTTTCCCAGGTCCTGCCCATGTGGAGTGAGGGTAGTAAAGGGAGTTTTGAGTTTGAGCTCAAGGTCTGTTTGGAAAGAAGGTGAAGGTGAGTATCTCTAAATTTTAACTTTAAACCCCAGGGGAGTGAGAGAAATGTGTGTATGTCTGTATATGTGAATGAGAAGACCTTTTCCCAATCACAGTTGGATCTTTTTCCCTCTGGCCTTTCCTAACTGCAGAAAGGATCTGTTTAAGTGACAGACCCTGGAAAGCATGAGGGTTTGGCCAGAGCACAGGATCTTTTGTTAGGGAAAAGGGAGAGGCTGTATGAAATGGAATGGAAAAGTGAATGAGAGAATTGGATTTGGCAACCAGCTGGTAAGGTCCTGTAAGCCCAGGTCTGGGAAGGAAGTACTCATGTTTGCTGCTTGGAAGAAGCAGTCAAGTACTCTCAGACTTCTCTGAGTCCAAAATAGTAAAAGTAGAAATGCGCACAAAGTAAATGTTGTTTAGGAAATGTTGTGAATAAGAGTGTAGTTCTAAGCAGTTGTGAAAAGCTGGTGGAAGAGGGTGCCCACACCTGCTGGTTGGGGACAGCAGGTCCTCTCAAACCTCTTTTTGGTCTGAAAACTTAAGGCAGTATTCCCATTAAAGGAGGGGCCTGTTCTGTTTCTTGCATTGGTAGGCATTGAAAAGGCAGGACTCACAAACAGGTATTTCTTTATTTGCAGCTAAACAGAACTCTGAACAAAATGGCTCCGCCCCTTTTTATACATTCAGCTTAGGGTGCTGTCAGCCAATGAATGCAATGTATTCTCCCACTTAAATACATACTAATGATTAGCCAGACAGTAAGTCTGGCTAGCAGGCCACATGGTCTGCTAATGGTTTCCTTACACCTGTTCCTAGTTTAAGCTCAGTACATAACACCCCTCCTCTCCTGCATCCTTAGCACATACTTCCTATTTTACAATACTATACCCGTTCCCACAATGCACATTATAACAGTCCATAATACACAACATTATAAGTCCTACAAACACAATATTAAAATACTATACATTTCCATTTCAAAGTAGCATACATAAGCATTTCAGTTTGCAATACATAAGCATTTTCTTTAAGCTTGCAGTGATAGAAACCTTACATAGTCCTTCAAAAACTTTGGTGGGCCCTTGGCCCGTTCCAATCATCTCGGAGCTGCTACTAGTGCCCGATCTGCAAGCTTGCCTGCCAGGCTTGGCAGACTGGGACTTTGGGACCCATTCAATACAGGTGAAACCGGATTGTGAAGGCTGGCCTGTTCCGGTAGACCCAAGCCTTTGTCCATTTGGCTTTGGCTGGTCCGTTCTGGTAGGCCCAAACCAGAGTTCTGAGGTGGAGTGAAATTCCCCTGATGGGTGTAAGAAGCCGGTTGGAAACACTGTCCTGTTGGCGCAAAGCCTGAAGAAGGATCAGTGACATAAGCCGGTTGAACGCAATGTCCCTTGGACACAGTGCCAGAGTCAGGAGCCACCTCATTGGCAAAACCCCTGCTTGGTGAATGCAGTGTCCTGCTTTCGCTGAGTGGCTGAGATTCACAATCGGGATCATGGTCCTCCTCCCCCTGAG